AAATAATTTAAAATATCGTATCGGCTGTTCAATGTTTGTAGGAACTTGTGGTCCAATGACCCGTGGCAATACGCTAAAAGGTATTCTATCTGGAATATGTAATTCTTCCGTAACATCGCGCCATTCGTCCAAGTCTTGTAACGAATCTTCGCTTTCGCTTTCAATAATTCTCATTCTTCGTCTCTTTGGTAGCATAATTTCGCTACTACTACTCGAAGTGTCAGAATCATAACCAACATTGTCTTCCACAATGTCTTTTAATTCTTCGAAATCAAATACGTCTTCGGTATCGCTCGGCTCTAAATTCTCATCGTAATATTTATTTTTCTCCATGTCGCTGACCATAGAAAAGGTCAAAAAATGGTTTAATCGTAATGGTACAGACTTAGCACGTTTTAACTACAGATAACAATTGCTAACGCCGACGATAACGTATGCTAAAAACATTTCGCTCCGCAGCGGAGCCTTCGGAGTTACGGAACAAATGACAAATGTCTCCGTAGCGGAGCGTTCGGAGCGCTAAGGGTTAAATACAAATAAATATAAATACAAATAATTATAAAAACGAGGTGCAAGGCTCGAACAATCGCATCTCTGCTCTTCCCAAGAATTTGCTGCGTTCGCTCGGAGAACTCGCTCAAAATTAATAATCTCCTACCGAAAACTTTTCGAACATTCTGTTGCTAAATACGAATGAATCCTAGCGAATTCTAAATTCAGTTTTTGTTCAAGCATATATCACAATAAAAATGTATTCCAAAAATTTCCGTCAACCGTGTGCGATCGTCGGGCCACTGAACGCGTTAATGGCGCTAGAATATAGAACATTATTGAATCATTTCATAATTTTTATACGCGGATAAAAACGAAGCACTCCTCCCTGTATCGCTGATTACAGAAATATTATTGCAGTTGAATCGAAACAGGCTCGACCGAGAAAGTTCTAGATAACGTTGGTCGCATTGTCCGATCGAATGCAGGCAACTCGTCGATTCCATAACGAATCGATTACTCGCATATGGCCGTAAGGGCAAGCCATTATGCGTTTTTGCATGCCGTGGCCGGAATAAGCGAAAATGTTTGAACAGAGATATTCAAATACTTGAATCGTTTGATCATAGAACGTGAAGCAGCAAATTAGGTCGCGCGGAACAATGTGTCGTTCTACTTTCGCGTGTTTTGAGTGGTGCTCGAAGCGCCGGCTAGCTGAGTAACAATATTGAAAACCGCGAAATAAGCGTTTTCTCGTCGTCATCTTTCAGACCGCGGATCGTGCCGTTATTGTGCCAAGATATTTTCATTAGATCCTTATCGGGACGTTAAATACGGTAATTCGCCTGTCGGCGAAATTGTTTCTCTCGCGGAACCGGAGACATAATTCTACGAAAATGATTCGACGCATTTTTCCCTTTATCGGCCATACTTCTACGAAGTTGCGACGTCCTGCCACTAGTATTTTCTTTTATAGTTTTTTTGATATATTCTTTCGATAGTCGGAAAAAGTTTTCCAGATAATTATGATATCGTCGTACTAAATTTTATATTTCAACTATATACAGAGTGTTCCATAATTATGTTAACACTCGGAAAGAGGTGATTCCTTAGGTCAATTGAAGTAACTTTTTCCTCAGCAAAAATGCAATCCGCGGCTTCGTTTACGAGTTATTAATGAAAAACATTGACCAATGAGAAGCGAGCTCGCCTAGCGCTAGGAGGCCGAGCCAATCAGCGGAACTGGGCTCCAGTCGCTCGTTGGCTCGGCCGCCTCGCACCAGCTGATCTGGCCTCTCATTGGTCACCGTTTTTCGCGAATAACTCGTGAACGAAGCCACGGATTGCATTTTCGCTAAGGAAAGAGTTCCTTCAAATGACCTCAGGAACCCCACATTTCCCGGAAGTACCACAATAAGTTCCAAATAAAAATCCTGTATAATTGCAGCCAAATCGTTGGGAAATTATTGATTTGCATTTCGAATTCTGCAATTTTATAGAGATCACGCGAGACCACGAATCGTGGTTTTATAAAAAGATACCACCGAAGAGCCTGACGTGCTATCTTCGTAGAGGTCATTTTCACCCCGAATAAAAAAGTAACTGTGTCGAACGTGTTCCGGTTAGCCTCAGAGTAATTCAAATTGTCGCGCAGTAATTCAAACCGACGAAAGGGAGCCGCGCGAGCGAGAACCGTCTTGGAGGACGAGGCGAGGCAGGGAAACGCGAAATAAGAAACACGGCGTCCAGTTGTTTCGCGAGGCAGAAAGGTGGAACGGTATGCTAAGCGCATCGTGATTGTCGCAGGTACCTTCGAGAGACATTCCATTCGCAAGTCGGGCACCATGGGCCATTTCCCGCACGAAGGTCGCGGCTCGTTAAATCGACACGGCAACGGGATACAGACGCTGAGGAGCTCCGAGAACCGTGGCCGGCACACGCCGGTGCAGGGTCTGCACGAGCAGACGCCGACCACCGGGTCGACGATGCTGGTCGCCGAGGACGGGTTCGTCAGGTTCCGAAGCCTCGGCGCCGAGGACGACGAGCTGTCCGACACGCCGAGCGTGGTCGGCACCCACGGCAGAGGAAGCTCGCTGGCCGGCAGCGTCCGATTCAACGCGAGACATCCGACCCTGCAGCACCAGCACTCCCATCCGCACCCCCATCAGCACCAGCATCAACACTCGCTGCAACACCCCCATCCGAGTCAGCATTCGACTCACCATCAGCTGTACAACAACACGTAAAGTCTGGCCGGCTACGTCGCCGGATAGCGATATTGTTCCATCGTTGACTCGGTGAGTTCGCTAAGCCTCTACGCCCCGGAAGTAGGTCCCCAGGCGGACGGGAGAGGCTGCTCAAATACGGCAAATTAGCATGGAAGGTTTATTAAATTAACTTGACCCTTGGGTGGACTGATTTCTTGCGCCGAGGGCGCGCGCGCGCGCGCGCTGAAGCCGTGGGAGACTACTCGTGTTCCAGGGAATTGTGTTAATTCTAATTATTAGACGGAGAAATCTGCGGCCAAAATTTCATAAACGTTTCTTGCGGAAACTGAAATACTCCTCCCTCTTGCCGGATCAAATGTTTCTCTTCTACGTGCGCACTTACGGTGAATCCTACTGAAACCTCTATTATCGGGTCCTGCAATAATTAAATTATCTATTTATGCGGATCACATACTTTTCTCGCGCAGCTTTCGCGAGCGTAGCTCGATCCGAGGCGATTCTCTCATATGCGAAACGGATTTACTGTACAAATTAACGAAGACGCGATCCGGCGCCGTAATTTAGCAATTGGTTCCTATTATCTGGATCATTCCGTGTCGCTCAAGGTTCTTCCGTAATCTCGTAATTCTCGCGTGTTTCTCTTTAACCTTTTAGGCTCGACGCGTCACTATAGTGGCTTGCTCTAGTAGCTCACTCGCTCATCGTTCGAACCAAATAATCGTCTTCATATGCATTGTTTCACACTTCTTTTGTCTTCGCATCGATTTACAACAGTCTACAGGGTGTCCCAAAAATGTCTCGCAATCCGGAAATGGCGGGTTCCTCGGATCATTTGAAGCAACTTCTTCCTTTACAAAAATGTTCTCCGAGGCACCGTTAACGAGTTATTAACGAAAAACAGTGACCAATAAGAATCGAGTACGGCTGGCGCGAGGCGGCCCAGCCAACCAGCGCGCGAAACCCAGTTCCGCTCATTGGCTCGATCGCCTCGCGCCAGCTGAGCTCATTTTGATACGCGATTGCGTACGAGGCTCCGTAGTAAAAATTGTTAATGTATTATCAATTTTGACTACTTCTCATTGTAAAAATTTGTAGATATCGTTGAAATAGTAACAAATATACAGGGTGTCCCAAAAATGTCTCGCGAACCGGAAATGAGAAGTTTCTGGGATCATTTGAAGTAACTTTTTCCTTAGCGAAAATGCAACCCGTGGCTTTGTTTACAAATTATTAACGAAAAACACTGACCAATGAGAGGCGAGCTCGCCTATCGCTAGGCGGCCGAGCCCATCGGCGGAACTGGGATTCGACCGCTCGGCCGCTGGCGCCGTTGGCTCACGCGAGCTTAGCTGGCGCGAGGCGACCGAGCCAACGAGCAGTCGAAACCCAGTTCCGCTCATTGGCTCGATCGCCTCGCGCCAGCCGAGCTCGCCTCTCATTGGTCACTGTTTTTCGTTAATAACTCGTTAACGGTGCCTCGGAGAACATTTTTGTAAAGGAAAAAGTTGCTTCAAACGGCCTGAGGAACCCGCCACTTTCGGATTGCAAGACATTTTTGGGACACCCTGTATATACAGACAGAATATACAGTATCAGACTCTGTACAGTGCATATCAGACTCTGCCGTTCAGAGAAATAGCCTCGCGCAGAATTCTCAGCCGTACCTAAAAGGTTAAAGATGAAACTGCTGTCCGGGCAATTTGCTGATCGATGGAACGGCGCCGTTGAGAATTCGCGCGCGTTTCATTCCGGCACGTCACTGTGCGTGAATTCCCGCGGTCGTTTTTATCTTGCCGTGGAAATTAGAAAAAATTTACTTAACCGAGAGTCTCGAGTGCCCCGGAGCGGTGGATGTAATTTAATCGAAACAATGAATTAGTGAGCGGCGGGGCTCTTGCGAGAGACGACGGGGACTATGGTTTCGAGGATTTTGTAGCTTAATGACGATGGGAGATAATACGGTTTCTTCCGATTTAGAGCAGCGGTACTGAAAGAGCGGGGAAACGGTGATTATAAGTTGGCGAGTAAAAAGTGGAAGTGTTAATAGGTCTTTGAAAGTTAAACTCTTTTCACGGTAACGAGGAGAAGATTATTTTCAATTCGCTTTTAAATAGTTGTAGGAGCAGTGATTTTCATAAAGTAGTATCGGCTTGATAGGATAATGGAACGAATCGTGGAGAGGAATGCTTGAGAGCAGCGTGGTCTGAGCCGTAAGTTGCGCCACCATTTAAACAATTGACCTTTTGCACTCGAAGCTATTTTCACTGTAAATATAAGATCATTTTTCTCATTTATAGTATGTTTATTTTATATGGTAAAATGCATTTTATGCAGATGAAATCGACTCTTGGGACTCGCGCAACAGTTTTAACCATTTTTTAACACTAATCCTACCAAGCATTAATACTAATTGGCATGTACCGCTTCACAAAAGTGAGAAGACACACAAATTTGAGAAGTTTTTATTATAAATCTTGCTCCAATAATATAACTTATTCAAGCGTTTTCCACGAAAGAGTCTCGGAACTTTGCAGAATTGCAAAATAAGAAAGCGGTCACTTTGACCGCGGTAGGTTTAGTGTTAAATCTAAACTTTGTTAACACTATGCCGTCCGCGGATCTTAGATATGATTCTTTTGTTTGACGTCGGCATAATGGCTTGGAAATTTTAGATTTAAAAAAAAATTTGGCGGTAATATAAATTCCTAAAATTAAGATATGTCATCCAAGAATTTTCGTACTTAATTCTTAGTTAAATAAGCACAATGCTGTAGTTAGTTTGCCGCCTTTTAGCACCCAAGAAATATAGTTCAAATGTTATTTCAGTTTTTTAAAATGGCACCAAAGTGGTACCACCGGCAACAGATAGTTTCTTCATGGCACCCAGCGTGGTGCCGCCGGACAGCATAGTGTTAATATAAAAATTATTATAAAATTAATTTAAAAATTATTATAAAAATTACTATAAAATTATTATAAAATTATTATAAAAATTATTATATAATTATTATTATCTGAGTCACCAGTCGAGTGCAAAGGGTTAATAATTAGACCACGCATTTAATACAGTTCACGAGCACGTTCAATATCATTTTTGTTCTTTCTATATTCCTATTTATCTCTGTACAGTGAACTGTGTAATATCCGGGATGTATTTCATTTATAAAGATGTAAATAGTTCCTAATTTTTAAAATGACGGCGCAACTTGCCCCATACCGTTCTACAACGTGTCGCTGAATATCTGTTTTCTTCCAGTTTGTTGCAGATGCTTGTGCCACTCTCGTCAACGAAATAAATAGGATGTTCCAAGCTGTCGCGACTACGGTCTAAAAAAAAAAAAGAAACCTTGAAGAACTAATTTTATCTTATTCTATGTAAGATATGTCCTGTGTATAGATACCTACTTGCCATTCGCATTCTCCTGCTTCGCATCCACGTCCGAGCCGACGAATCCTTGGCCGTATGGCATCGATATTTATTTGACGTTCTCAATTAAGCGAAGATGAAGACGAAGAGGAAGAAGAAGAAGAAGAAGAAGAAGAGAAAGAAGACGACGACGACTACGATGACAAAGAAGAAAACGAGAAAAAAAAAGTATACGGCGAACTCGCGTCAGAGTTCCTCTACCTGTTACGTGGGTAGTTTCAGGGTATCTCGAATTCTTGACCTTATATTAGGCACTTGGTACTTATTAAGGTTCATGTGATTAACGAACGTTGTATCTCTCGCGAGACCCATAGGGGACAAAGCTTTCTTTCGTTTTTCCTTCCTTCGAGTAGCAAGAAACTCGGCTGTGGAAACGTATCGGTGCGACATGTGATTCGTTGAAAGATGCACGGTGCCTAATCTCGGATCCGATGGAACTCCGTTCGTCCGGAAATCCATTCTCCGATTCGCCGAAGCTGCGCATTTGCAATTGCGAACTTATACGCGCGATAAAAGCATAGCCATCCCGCGAATACCCGCGAAATTGCATGCTCCGCGTAACGCGGAATTGTCAACCCGATGAGCGATGCAGCCAAAGACCAGGTGATTCTACGTCTTGAAGTGTATGAAAAAGCGTAGGATACTTTTACGGTAATGGAATGATAATCCACGGAAAATAGGCTTCGGATCTGTATACGTTTACGGCTTATACAAATTTTCACGATATAGTAAAACGCTATTTTGGATCAGCAAATACTGTTACGGTAATGAAATAATAATCCACGGAAAATAGACTTCGGATCTGTATACGTTCACGGCTCATACGAATTTGCATAATATAGTAAAACGCTATTTTGGATCAGCAAATACTGTTACGGTAATGAAATAATAATCCACGGAAAATAGACTTCGGATCTGTATACGTTCACGGCTCATACGAATTTGCATAATATAGTAAAACGCTATTTTGGATCAGCAAATACTGTTACGGTAATGAAATAATGATCCACGGAAAATAGACTTCGGATCTGTATACGTTTACGGCTTATATAAATCTTCACGATATAGCAAAACGCTATTTTTGATCAGCAAATACTGTTACCACTAAGAACAATGAGAATAGAAATTCGATTCCGTTCCCTTAACGTCTGTCTAGAAAAATGAAAAATTGCACGAACATCCGCAGTCGACATCCGGCTGCATCGCTCACCTCTCCTCCATTCGAACCGACTCCCATTCGCTTGAAACATTTAAATTTACACCGGAAGAACAGAGGTCCGTCGCGTCTTATTTCTTGCCAGCAGCTTCCTATTCGTTCTTCTGACAATGGCTGCGCCCCCCGGTCAGACTTGACATAATTCAATGACGCGGTCAGATTGCTTGTAGTAAGCATCCTGGCCTATTCCTATCCGGTTTCGTTTACGTAGTTCCGAAGCGAACGCCGTGCAGAGGCCACCTGTACACACCGATACACGTGTCATCTTCCTCGAGACCCCACTAGACCCCGCGCTGATCGCGATCGACAGGAGGAAGTATATTTTGTAATGAACAGAGAAAAGGGAAAGAAAAACAAGGAAAAAAATAACGAAGTGGAAACACAGATTCACGTGGTCCAAAAAAGACGAGGCAGCGACGCGTACTCGGAGAGGATCGAACGAGCCCCCTCCCCCTCCCCCCGGTGTAATCGGCGAACGACGAAACGGGGAGAACAAGAGTGACACTAGCAAAAAATTGGAGGAGAAGAAGCAAAAGACTACGGCGTTGTACAGTCGATAATAATTTATCACTCAGTCCAACTGTAAGATTTATTTAGCGGTTAAGATTCGATTAAAGATTCCCTGTTAAATATATATGTATATATATACGTATACATATATATGTAAACACACACACACACACACATATTAAGTTACGTCGGTGTAGCCGGTTAGAAGCTACTCTCGCGTTCGCTCGTAGCGACGGATATCAGCGATTTCTGTTAAACGAGTTCAATATGTCGAGCGACCAACCACGTAACGATGTTTCCTCTCCGCGTCGGAGACCACGAAGGATTGATCTTCGCACACAGGCCAGCATTAGTTTGTTTTAAAGCCCCTTCCCCGACACCCCAACACACCCTCCCCCGTCTCCTGGATCCCATTGTGTTTCGTTCTCCTTTTACCGTTTATTTTAACTCTCTCAATATTTCGTTCGACGGGCCGTCGACGTTCACGTGCTCCTACGTCGAGGCGTGATTATGTATAAATGTGTACACGCTTCTCGCGTTGAGATCCTCGGCTCGTTTCAAAATTATCATGGTCAGCTGTGCGTGCGAACAGTTTTGAAATCGATTCAGGTGCGTCGACTGAAAATCGATCAAATTTATTGTAACATATATTTGATTTTTTGAGGAGGTCAGTCTGGAGGCTGCGCGAACGTTCGCGTTGACGGCCCGGTCAGAGTTGTTCTCTGTACACGCGTCTGACGTTTCTTTTTTTTTTTATCCCTCAGAACCTAAGGTACAAAATAGTACTTTCTACCTTCTTCAACTTCGTATATCGATAATAGGTTTAAGCGGTAAAGCGCAGTGTATATGTTTATATGGACAATGTAAATAAGGTATACGGGCTCGTCGTGAGTAGATATTATTAAATATCGTTGCGATAGAATTCGTGCAGATTCTATCCGATACGCACCCACCCCATGGGATTCACACGTACAAAAAAAAACACACGTTTACCAGTGTACGGCGGCGTGTGCATGTACACGGCGGTACATTGCAGAGAATTGGTGGAGCAAATACAGTGACTCTATATGAGAACGTGTAAGATTGTAAGGCGCAGTCGATACAAATTTGTTCATTCTTAAGCAACGGTTGCGTTCCCGAATACCCGAGCGCCAACAGTTTTTTTTTCGGCACAGTGTGTTTACGTGCATCGAGAAAGAAGCATTTCTAAGGAACCGAATCGAACGCGAAGTCGCTAATTACCGCGGGTATAATGACAGAGTCGAGCGAGGCTGGCATTAGGTTTTCGAGATCGCCGATTTTTCTTAGTCTCGCGGGAAAATTTCAATCCTCCGGATCGGAAAATTCGCTATTTTCTTACTGCTCCGTCGAGTTGGCACGTGGAAATTCGATAGCGACGCTCATGGGAGTCACCGTGTTTGCTCACGCGACAATACATTACACACCACTTGTAACATCGTTCTCAGTTGTAAATGCAAGGACTCGTTTTTAATTTATGCGAAGAAATGGGAAAAAAACAAACGAACGAACACTGTATTTATTATGTGAAAAAAAAAACATTCCACAGCAAACGTGATCAGTGTGAATGCGACCGACCTTCTTTTTTCGTGGGATTTTAATTGCAATTTTAGATTAAACTAATAGCGCTAACGAACGAGGAACAAGAAATGTAAATAAAAGCTTTTTTTGCGAAACACCTTATATGTTTATCCCAATCACATGGTAACTCGAATGAATCATTCTCGGCCGTCAAACCACATCTAATCTGCTTTGTTAGGACTCGCTCGCGCGATCGGTTGTTCGAATAAAATGAACGAAATTCGTGCTCGCGGATAGCTTGACAGTGAAAAAACGATCAGTGAAAGGGAGCGGAAGTGCCGTCTGATCTTCTTAATCGATTTTTCCGCGCCGAAGGATTCAGTATTACGATCGCGTACTCGCGAGAGAGTTCCGGCACTCGCGAAGCGTAAACTTCTAATTTCTTTAATTCCGGCAGAAATTAACTTAGCCGTTTGCGACCTGATTATAAAACAAACTGGGGCTGCCCTCGTTACGGGGAGGAGTGCGCGTTTTTTATTTACTTGATCTCTTTTTTGTTTAACTTGCACCGTCTATTAGGAGAAACGAAAGAAAGGAATTCGTTAAATTCATGTGTCTCGGCATCATGGTTGTCCTCTGTTAGCCGACGTCGAGATGTAAACGAAGCAATCTTGTATAGGGAAGACAGTTTATGTCGGGAGTAATGTAAATAAAAACTAGTGTACAATGGAACCTCGATTGTCTGACCGGAATATTCGAATAACAGACCGTTCAAGTATTCGAACTGTTTTGCCTAACGAGCAGGACATTATTAAATAGCATTTGCAGACGTTACATTTCGTTGCCAAAATTCGTGCTGCTTGTATCAAAATTCGGATTTAAAAAAGCGCGTAATTTTACGATTACAAATTGAATCGAAAATGATCAGTAGTCTCAAAAATATTAGGTTGCAGATAAAAAATAGAAAATCCCGTAGAAATTGTTTAAATTTCGTTGAAATTTTTGTACTTTTTTTTTAAACAAATATTAATTAATATATCTCAAAATATGTAAACTCCCTCCTTAACACGAAAACAGAACTGTTCGATTATTCGAATGTGCTCGTCGTGACTAGTTCGGGTGATCAAGGTGCCGTTGTACTTAATGAAAAATTGATAACAATACTGCCTGCATCGTGGTGAAAAATGTAAAAATATATTCGGGGAGACAGCATTTTTTAATATATTTTACGAAGAGCTACGGGCTAAGATTGATTTGCAGAGAATGTACGCATTTATGTATTTATAACGACGAAACATGTTGAAAATGCACCAAATATAGAATAGAAATATCTACTAAATTTGAGATAGCTTAAAGTGGATGACGAACAAAATTTTTTATTACTGTGTATAATGTTTAAAAGTTAATAAAGTTATAAATATGTAATAAAATGCAGTTCGGTCGCGATGTTGTTAAGCAATCCCTTGGCTATTTTACCATCTAATAATTTATTAATTAAAATAACTGGTCAGCATCGAGATACGAAGTAAAAAAAAAAACTACGAAAATATGAATGTTACAAGAGGTTTCTAAATTTTATTTCTTGTCGAATCTGCATTTTCTAAAATATAATTAAACAGAATAGTGTTAATATTTCGGACGTTTCATAATTTACTTTCTATTTTCTTAACACGAATTCACTAATTATTAAAGTACTTCTCTCTCTCTAAATCTAGCTGTGCAAATGATTCTTGCCTTTGCGACCATAAGATGCAATGTAAATTCCAACAAGAATCATTTGCTTCATAAAATATAAATTTAGCGCCGTTCCGCGTAGTGGCGAAACGCTCGAACTATTAACCAAAATTATTATCCGTTGGTAATTTGGCTCTTACCATCACTTGCAATTTTCGAAAGTTTTATATATTTTAAATAGTACGAGTTAATAAAAAATCAGACGTCGAAAAATTTTAGCCGTCTAATAAAAGTAAAAATTACCTTAGAAAATAGTATCTCAATTAATAGTTGTCCATGAAAAGAGGTCGCTGAAATCAGTCGTAAAATGTCGAATCGATAAGGCAGTTTTAATTTGGGACTCAAAAATCCACGTGTTGTACCAAGGTCCATGTGCTCAGTACACCTGTTTTTATATCTGGTCTGCCTAAACATGTCGCTTTTAGCGAGGTATAGCGATTAAAATTATGAATTATTTACGACAGTATAGACATTAACACTTATTGGACCAACCTGTGATACAAATTATGTATAGTAGCTTAGGATCTCAGGAAAAAATAGGTAACTGCTAGCAATCAACATGAAATTCTTTACTAATTCGGTAAAATCTTGTGCCGCTCGCATTGGCACGTTGACAGAATTCGAGAGGATTCCCTCAATTTGCTTCGAAACTCCATTTCCTCTTATTTATACAAAGGTAACACTCAAATACAAAGTACAATTTAAATAGGATTTTCCTGAAAATTTTATTTTTGTTTAGGGCGGGCTTGTGCCACATTTAACTAATGATACTTTTGCGATGGTTACCACAGAACCACAATTTCTGTCAGTTTCATTACCCTCTACAATATTAATGTACGAATCAATGAAAGAGACTAATATGAGTTTTGCAAATTTTGTCGGTATGCAGGTATGTATTCGTTTAGAAATAATATCTATATCGGTTGTGAAATTTATTTTCATTTTCAAATGAAAATTTTCTTTCAGAAACACATAAATTTTCTCTCGATTACCGATCCAGCATATTTAACACGTTCAGGCTTTCAAAAACTGGACACTATTCCTATATGGTCTAGAGGTGGCAGACAAATGATGTCAGCCAATCGTTATATGGATATTGTTGAAACATTTAAACCAGATTGCTATACTGCTATATACGACGGGGATACTAACGTTAATAGTACTAGAAAAAGAGCTTCGAAAGCTGTGAGACGTAGTAATACAATGTTTGAACAATGTTTATCTAGACATAACGAATCAAAAATTTTGAAATCAACAGCATTATTAGCTGCTGTCGAAGGTGGCTACGATGCGGATGCTAGATTAGAATCATTAAATTATTTAAAAGACAAACCTGTGGATGGATATGTGATAGATGGATTACATAACAATGGACCAGATGTACAAAATATTTCGACAGAGACAGTCAAGGAAATAATAAAACAGACCATCGTAAGTGAGAAACTTTTATATATAAATGATCAAATGATGAGAGTAATTATTTCAGAACATGTTACCAAATGAAAAATTGAAAGTGTCGATGGGATGTTGGAATCCGTTAACAGTATTAAACTTAATTGAATTAGGTGTAGATATATTTGATACATCGTATCCTTATGTAGCTGCAGAGAATGCAGAAGCTTTAACAGTTTTATGTGACCACGATACCTGTAGTAATATATTACATGTAATATCGTTCAAAGAGAAAAGGTAATGCCATTAAATCAGTATATGAATTTAGTTTATAATCACTATAGTTTTTTATTAATTATTATCTTATGACAGGTATGAGGATGATTTTTCTCCAATATGCTCTCATTGTGAATGCCTTACATGCAAAAATCACACTAGAGCATACATATACCATTTGCAGAACACCAAAGAATTGCTTCTTGGAATATTATTAATGATGTAAGTATTTCTTTATGTAAGTTTGTATCTTAGTTTATGATGTCTAAAATGCAAACTTTCATTTACAGACACAATATTCATCAGTATCTTGAATTTTTTAAAATTATTCGAGAAAATATAAAAAATGATACATTTAATGAGTACAAACAAAAAATTGCATTAAAATTTGAAAGTATTGATAGTACCGAATTAAACGTAGTACAAGTGAAAAAATCAAAGACCGCGAATGCGTGATGCACTTTTACGAATGTATAAATAATTAATTGTATTATTTATAGCTCTACCATTGTAAGAATAATGGTAAAATTGAAAAAACAAACTATAATATAGTTATTATTCTGGTAAAAAATTCGGATCTAAGTAATTATAGGAAGAATTACTAAAACTTTGTGGAAAATAGTCTAGATCATAACTTCTAGTATACTGTGGCGGTTTTATAGATATCAGTCTATGTAACGGGTCGTGTAATGGTTTTTCAGCTTCCAACTGTGCTACTGCACAATCACTGCATAAATCCATTTCATCTTGGCATTCTATGCAATGCCACCTTGTGCCTGTTAAAGGCTCTTCTCCGCACAATGCACACTGTAACAAAATGATTGTCTATAAAAGAAGTATTCAATTAATAAATATAATAATTTATGTACCTTGTATCCAACGTGTTTATATGACGTAGAAGAACTTTCTTCTTTCTCACATTTCACTTGCCGCAATAATTCTATGTGCCTCAGCTCGGGATTGTCTTCGATAATACTGTTGCCAGCATCGTCCTCCTATAGACATTGATAATACCACAATTACCGTCGTTCATGTTAACATTACAGTATAGAATTCAATTAATACATACAGATTCTTCTGTAACTGCTTGTTCTTTAGTCTCATCAGGCATTGTGAAAGACAAATCTTGATGTGGAAAGAACGTAGATCTTCTAAACAGAGAATAATTACTACGTTGATGCCTGTGACCTATTCCTTTCTTAGCGTCCAACTTCATTTTGGGACCACGACCAGGAATAGGCAATCCAGCTCTCAGCAATTTAATAAAGTACTTTTGGACTCTGCTAGAAACTTGTTTTGGTGTTCTATTGCCTATTGAACAAGATGAATTTAATTAATACAACGAACCAGAAAATATTTACAAAGAGTATACCTAAAGCGTTAGCTATTTTGGTCCAACGTCTCATTTCTACTTCTTCGGGTGGATATTCTATCAGCAATTCTTCCAATCTTTTCTGTTCCTCCACTGTCCACAATTGATTGAACGTTTCAGGTTTGCTTTCGTCAAAAGCACGACCTCGCACTAGAATCTAAATATTTCCAACGAATATCATTAAACGGTTATATTATCAGAAATTTAATTTATATCTTTACCTTTCCATTTTCCTGTTCAGTTTTCGTTTGCACATGAGGCAGAACGTGTCCATGCCTGGTTTGCGGCCTAATACGCATATCAGGTACAGCTATGTTATATTGTGACCAGTCAATATAAGGAATTTCCGCAATTTTCTGTGGTCCTGGTAATTCTGGAAGTTCGCTATTCTGTATCTGTGCTACGAACGATATTGGGTCCTTCAATGCCTTAGAACGAATGGACAGTAGTTTATCCAGGTCTTCGATAGCTTGGACACGTTGAGATTCGAGGATTACGATCGTTTTCAAAAGAGTATTGTAATCCTTGTTTCCCTTCAGCGCTAGATGATCCGACTCGAAATAAAATTCACCTGGCTCTTCGTCTTGGCACTTAATCTCCTCTTCATCTTCCATCGCTAATCAAACTGTTAGCGCTGTCAGGCTACACGCGTGTCCACTGTGTCACACCTTAACCTAAATTATTTGTCAAAATAAGGCAACCGACATGCGAAACGGCCTATCAAATAGGAATGACAGAAACACACCTATCTATCTCGTTAGCAGTAAATGTTCCTTTCGGTGAGCGACTAACGTTTGAAAAGGAAAGGAAAATGAACGAAATAATCGCAGGAACGATATACACATTCACCGGGCCATCGCTTGGATTCGAGTGGCCACGTGTATTTGCTGAACGCACCATTAAATGATTATCTTCAGTCGAGATAACAGATTACATCGCGCATTTTACAATCTATATTTACGATCGTAATCCTAATTTAATTTCCACGTTCTTAATCGATACTCGGTTATCGCAATAGATACCCGCAAATAAGCTTTTTAAATCCGAAGAAAATATAGCGATAGAAAGGAGTTCGTAAACCGGTGATTTTTTTATCTTATTTGTTTAAAATGTTCAGTGGAGGCAATGTATGTGCTTAGATCATTCCAAGTAATAATAAAATTTAAAGAAGCAGTTTAGACATTATCTTGTAGACAAGTCTCTCTA